TTGGGGATGTTATTTTTTGTTATGTTAAACTACTTGATTCATTGGGTGGAAGCCAGTGCTTTTGCTAGTGCATTTGTGACTATTGTTAAATACTTCTTCCAAAATTGAGTGGTATTCTAGCATTCATGTCTATAGTAGATTCTCTTAAATAAAGTCTCATATTTATAGTTAAGATATTTCACATTTTAATGTCTTAGCTAAGGATACACAACACTTTCACAAGTGCTTATCATTTATGAACCAATGGTTTGGTATAATAGCTTATTCAGACTTTCAAAAGGATGATTAGGATTTAAATTGGGATGATTATTTGCCACTTCTTTAGTATACGTATGGCATAGGGGTAAAAACTTTCATTAATGCTTCACCATATGAACTTATATATGGTCATGATTTGATATTATCAATGGAGTTGAATTCACCTTTACAATTGCTATGAACTACCAATGCTAAGTCTTAGGATTAGTGTTTGACGAGCATTTTTCCACTAGTTCAAGTAGCATTTATTAAACATTTAGTATAGCATATATGGTTTTTGCCCTTTATTCTATAGTGATTTATTATAGGATAACTATAAAGCAGAACCTAAATTTTTTATATGCCACATGTCCAAGGACAGCGGAGTGGAACCCGAGTTTTAGGGCCTTAAGCCATTAAACAAAGGAATGGAATCAAACTCCCAAGCTTGCAGCTAAGGAGCGAAGGAACTAGAGTATAGAGCGACTCTTGAGCATTTATCCCAAAAAGCAAAAGAATAGAAGCATGAAGTGACATAAGAATAGTCCTAGAGCATCAAATATCCTAATGCTAAGATTAACACACAAAATGGAGCTAAACAGAGCCAAATAAAGTTTAGCGCTATTTTAGCATATCAGTGGCTTAACACAAGGATATGGGTACTCCATTAGCTAGTATGGTATAGAACTTGGGTTAAACCGAATGCAAAACAAAAATAGGTATGCAAATAGGAGCTAGAGTATGCCTTAGGTTAATTGGCCATACCTGACATACCCACTATCCCTATTACACATTTGTACTTCGGAAAACATGCTTTAAGTTATCAATCTTAATACCAAGAGTTAGTATTTGGAATAAGCTTGAAATTTATTTAGTGAATATTAAAGAACCAAGCTCAATATAATGGGGGTTACATATGAGTTTCTCATACTGAGTCGAGTATGCTCAGTAAGAAACATATAAGAGTTCCTATATTATATTTATCTAGTATAAGTACATACATGATGACCAGTTTCTCAATTAGCTTGGGTGGAGATTGATAAAGAGTCTAGCAATACCAACCTCTTGTTGTCGTGGCAGTGAAGAAAAAAATATCTAAAATGACTCATTCATAGGTAATTTTTGATACCTACAATCATATTCCCAACACTTGAGTTAGATACAAATGGGATAACAATGGTGTTACAACTCCCATCATTGTTAACCTATAGAGTTAAAGCAGATGACCTTATGTTAATTAATCTTCCCAATCTTATAGGTATAGTT